CCCGGGTCTAAAGGCGTGGCGAATTCAGCGCTTTAACCACTAGGGCTACCCCTAATCGCCCCACTTGACGAGACAGATCCAGTACCAGGCTTATCATCTCCATGAACATCGACTGAGGTATGTTCAGCTCAATTGACGAGACAGAGCCCAGTAGGCTTATCATCCTCATGAACATCGACCGAGGTATGTTCAGCTTACTTGACGAGACAGAGCCCAGTACCAGGCTTATCATTTCATTAACATCGACTGAGGTATGTTCAGCTTACTTGGCAAGACAGAGCCCAGTACCAGGCTTATCATTTCATGAACATTGACCAAGGTATGTTCAGCTTACTTGACGTTAGACAGAGCCCAGTACCAGGCTTATCATTTCATGAACATCGATAGCCATAGGGTCCTTGACCACGAGTAGGTCATGGCACTCTGTGAAGTCCATTTAGTACTTCCTGTGACAAACAGTGTTTCATACCTTTTCAAATTGTCCTCTGGTTGTCAGTTGACAGTAAGGAACCGATAATCCTTGGAGGAATAACAAATTTAGGATCTAACCATCCCCAAATTAGTCAACAATTACGACTGTCAACAGCTGTGTCGGCCAAGCATGGTTTTACACTTGGTCTGGTCTATTTGGCGGTTGTGCAATTTAAAACCAAAACTGGTTCTTGAATATCGCTTGTCACCAGAAATCTGGTACCAGAAGTAATCTATAATTTTTACTACCGTATTTGCCATATTGAACACTCAACTCCATATTAATTGGCCAACCAACTTCTTGACCAATCTGTAAATTTTAGTACCGTATTTGCCATATTGAACATTCAACTTCATATTAATTGGCCAACCAACTTCTTGACCAATCTGTAATTTTTACTACCATATTTGCCATATTAAACAATCAACTCCAATAGCTGCCCAACTAACTTCTAGACCAATCTGTAAGTTTTATTACCATATTTGCCACATTGAACAATGGGACTACTTCAGCCATTATGACTTGTTTACCAATCCCAGTTCAATTTATTTTGAATAAAATATGTTTCCACTGAATACACTAGGAAGTCAAGAATACGGAAACCACACAAGGGATATATATATTCATCTGTTCTGTACTTTACTCTTCACATCAACAATATCATATGGATTCCTTTTACCCAAGGTCGCCCTTCACAATGAAGGTTATCATATTTCAAAGCCTTGACAGTAGAGATATCAATTTCAATATCCATTGCTGACTTCAGTACAATGCGACATTTCTATCAATATCAGAGTTCTCAAGCAGTTACTGCCCTTCACCATGAAGCTCGTCATATTTCAGAGCATTGACAGTACAGATATCAATGCTTACATATTTCAATATCTCTTATGGCTGAGATGTGGCATTAACACCTGTGTTAAGTGTGGATATCAAACTACCAGAACACGACAGACCATGCGAATGAGTAAACATTTCTATGCTCGATTTCATTAACAAAATACACAGATGAATCTATTGCTAAAGGTCACCACAGATTTGACTACTCCATTTATACTGACAGCAGAAGTAATAGAATCTGTGTACTTATCATTGCACATATGTCTGGTAATAGGGATAATATAAAAGCATTGCTGAAAATTAAATTAAATCTTTTACACAAATTTGGGCAATTCATAAAATCAAATTTTTAAGAATTTGGAATTTTTAAAAATTATTGGGTGGGCCTGTGTTTATTCCTGTTGAATATGTCGCTTAAATATGAATAAACGGTCAAAGTCTTATTTATCCTGTCACACATTATCAGCCTTAGTCAAATATCTACGACAACAACCTTGCAAGGACAGCCATGTTATTAAAAACAAGGTTGAAAATAATACACTATATTTGATACTTGGCGAATAGTTTATTAAGAATATTTTGGCTTCGATAGTTCTTCTCTGGTGGAAATGGCAAAGGCATAAAGATTGTTAATTGGGATACATTTATAGACTGCCATGAGCAGCTCTCATAAGGCACTGGGTCCAATTTCATTATTCTTCAGACTTCATGAAATTGGTGACATATTTTACAGTTTATGGTGATATGAAAATATTCATACAAACAGGCGCATGTGCATGCTAGTGTTTGAGTGTTTAAGCGTTTATGTGTGTGTGTGTGTGTGTGTGTGTGTGTGTGTGTGTGTGTGAGAGAGAGAGAGAGAGACAGAATATTGTGTGTGAAAGAGCGTGCAAAAGTGTGTGTGAAAGACTGTGTGTGTGTGTGTGTTTGTGAGCATGCAAGTGTGTGTGAGAGAGAGTGTGAAAAAGAGTGTGTGTTATAGTGTTGTGTCTGTGTGTAGGCATGAGTGTGTAAGTGCACATGTTTGTGAGAGTGTAAGAGAGAGAGTGTGCATGTTTATGAGAGAGTGTGTGTGTGTGTGTGAGAAAGTGTGTGTGAGAGAGTATAAGTGTGTGTAAGTGTGTTTGTAGTGTTATATGTCTGTATGTATGCATGAGTGTGAAAGTGCATGTGTGTGAGAGAGTGTGTGAGAGTGTTTCTCGGAGAGAAAGAAAGAGTGTGTTTGTGTATGCAAGAGTGTGTGTGAGTGTTTGTAGTGTTATATGTGTCTGTGTGCATGCACATGTAGTGTGTGTGTGTGTGTGTGTGTGTGAGAGAGAGCAGGTGTGCATGCGTGTGCGTGTGTGTGTGTGTGTGTGAGTGTGAGTGAGAGAGAGAGAGAGAATGGTTTCGGTACAGTCAGCAGTACTGAATTCAAGTCTCAGCAGACCTGATGTGAATAACAACAGCAAGTCTCCATGCTACTGCAGTGTAATGACATGCAAGCTAGGAATCCCACTGAGGCTAATGGAGAACTAGCTAGGCTTGAGTAAATTGGCAATCCCAGCAAAATTGATTTACGCTTGTGAAACACTTTATTCATTCAGAAAGTCACAGTATTATATATCAATCTAACACTTTAAATGATGCTCGCTCGTATACTTGGTTGGAGTCTGGACCACACAATCCAGTGATTGTTCTTAAGAGCATCAATCCACATCATCAGTGCAACAACGTACAATTATTGCCGTCACCGACCCTGACCACCCGATACGTCATCTCCTGTAACCAGAATGGGTTGATACGACCTATTCTAACCCAGAATACCGTATTTCCAGGAGTGCCGGGGGTAAAGCAGTGGTTTAAGAAATAAGCGTCGGGCCTCTAATAAGCGCCATGTTTCTAATAAGGAATGGGTATGTTTCTAGAAATGCATTCTCCCTTGATCCAAAAATAGATTTATTAAGGAATGGTCCCTTTAGTCATAAGTTCCTGTCCTCCACATGGCGCGGGTTGATGGATATTGTGTAATTGTCGAAGCTGCAATCAGTGGGTTTCATAAAAATATAAATATGTGTGGGATCCAGTGCCAGTTGAATAAGCGCTGGGTCTCCAATAAGCGCCATGCCTCCAATAAGCGCTGGGTCTGGAAGTCCGTTGAAAAAAATAAGCACCTGGTCACTTATTTAAGGAAATACAGTACCCCCTGGGGCGAACAGCTAAATAATCTTCCTAATTAACAAAAGAATGAAGAGGCTAAGTGGATCAGATGGCTGACTTTATGTGCTGGTGATTAGGTGCCTGACTGAAGATTTGGGTTCAAACCCTGAATGAAACTAGAATCTGTACTTCACCAAGAAAGTGTAATCCCAAATGTAACATGCGTAACAAGCGAACGTGTGAGTTTCTCAAAAGTCACTATTTCCAGCGTCAAAGTCCACTTTCAGAGGTAACAGACCTTGGACATTTTAAAAGGCAAGCAGACGGTCAAGCAAGACAAGAATGGTAAAGGGCTTCATCCCGAAAAGGTTGTCTGAACATATCTAAACCTGACTACAGAAACATCGCAGTCCAATCGTAACATCAAGGCAACAAGGAAATAATGGCTAATGGCTCCCCTTTGTCACTGACAGTCCCTTGCTACTCTTTCCAAACAAGTCAGCCAAGCCATCATCTGCCTATTCTCACCAGCTTTACCAAGCTACAGTTAATTTCCGAGCAACAGCCAGTTACCACACATTTAAGCCTGGATTTCCAAGCCTGCAGCTGAATCACCCCAGGTCTGGCTATAGCTTGTTTGACATCGCTCGTAATCAATATATAACTCTAATGGTTCAATTTCACCACAACCAGCCTTTCAGTAGACCAACAGTTGAAATAGTCATCAAGGCAACATGATTGCTTAATAGGTAGCATAAATCATCGACAGTAGAGTTCACCATTACAATTTTGTCACATCATATACAGTTCACATCTGTTCCATTGTCTGAATGCAATGATGCTTGGGTACCCATACAAAACTGAAAAATCAATGTATTATCTATGTCATCTCTAGTAATCCAGTCAATTCAAATAAAATCAGAATATATATTTTTTTTAAGAACAATTTATATCCCCAATCAATTATTCCACATGAAGACACCAAATCAAGTCTGTAAAACGACACGAAATGATACGTTTATCAGTCGATAAAGTGACCCTCAGCACAAACTCGTAAAATAAACATGCCGAGTGTTTATGTATCTTGAATAAACAAAGTAAGGATACTAACTGAACCACGGTCTCAATAGCTACTCTGGAACATCTTCATGGATCAGGGATTTATCGAGACCTCCTCAGTCTGCCACAAACGTCAGTAAAACAATTGTAAATTGGATTAAAATAATAATAACTTAATAACTCTGACAGTTATAACCAATGTTACTGTTTACAGTGAGTGACTTTTTATCACTGATAACAGACCAGTTTTAGGGAAGTGGCATTATGCCTAATTTGATAGCATTGCCATGAATGCAATGTTTAAAGCCCTCAGAATTTAGGAAAAAATCTTTTATTTTTTTTTACAATTTTGAAGATTTTGAAAGTTTCCTTGCCATGGGCAATGAGTCTAGAATCCTAGATAAATCCCTGTTAAAAGCATCAAACACCTCTGACATAAACATAGATCAATGGTATGAAAATCAGCACAGAAAACAAGCATATATCTTACCTGACTATGGCCCAAAATGTAGGTCCCTTCAGTAGCCATGGTTCCTTGAATGATGCACTTTACACTCTCTGGTTACGTTTGTGTACTATTCCCATCTGTTTCCAACAAAGAAACAGCAGTCGTCACCTTCGAAAAGCCCAATTTCACCGCCTACGTCCAATGGTATAATCCAAAACGGCAGAACGTGTATCGGACTGGCAAAGAATACTACACAGAACACTGAAACTGGACTCTGATATGAGCGGCAAGAACGCTGGAACCTACCCTATGATTGAAACATGAAGACACAGAGTGTTTGTGTTACTGACACGGACGCGTCTGCTGTTGCACTGATGTACAAATGATTCCCTAACAGAGAGGTAGAACACACATGTACCGTGCGTATCACTATTGATTCATTTCCTCAATCGCTTCACCATCTGCCAGTCAAATCCAAAACATCCGATGAGCGACCATCAATGAAAATCTTCCAGTTCTACCACATCGCCCAGCATCTCAGTGTCGTCTGCTACTAATGCCGTCTGCTTGGTCTGCCGTCTGCTTGCACTGCTAGGTGTCTGCTCATTGAATGGTGGAGCTGTAAACCTTCCCTCCAAGTCACAGACAAACTGCTTCATCTAGCATCTAAGTGACCGTCCTGTCTGTCTGTTTGGTGAACAATGTCTAAGCTTCTCTCACTCAACCTGTCAAAGGAAAACTGAATAGAGATTTCATGAATTGTTAATGCAGTCCAGCTGACCCGTAAGTCAGCAGTCGTGAATAGACTGCACACAGAGAGTCACCTTTGTGAGGAATCAATTATTTCAAACGAAGGCAATATATGTCACTAGCTCAGATATTTTGTAACAAATAATTGCTGACAGCTTAATTTGTTGTTTATACTCTCGACAGACATGCAGGGATTCAATCCAAACTGAAATAGCTGAAGCAGTTCCTGTAACTGTGTAATGCGGTTTTGCTGCAGTTGTTATGGAGAATAATTTATAACAAACAATGATTGATCAATCACAAGGGTTTTCCATGTCACATAAAACATATACACATTTCAAATGCTTGACAATTTCATACATTTTTAGCCTTTCAGATATATTTAGAAATCAATTTGCCAATATCATAAAATATGTATTAAAATGAAGCCCTGCAAATGTAATGTATTATTGATATTTTTAGTGCATTTTCACAGTTTGTAGAGCCTGCCAACCATTAATTCAGAACATAAATAAGTGATTAACACACAATTTTTACCATCTGTTCATGTGACAGTCAACTTGACTGTCGATTTGATTTTTCAACAAAAAAAATGGGTTATCTGTTAGGCTGTCGAGATAAACATTAAGTCAGTGAGAGTAAGAGCTTTGGATATTTTGCCATTGTGAACAATATTCCAGCAATGGCAGAGCAAATACTGCATGGTATTACTGGTATACCGGTATACCACAAACAGTATGTACAGGAGTGGAAATAACCCATTGCCCGACGCCCGAGTCCAGTGGTTTTTTTTGTCGGGCAAGCACATTTGTATATCACGCTGTACCAGTGTTCAGTTGACATTCCAATGTTAATTATGTTGTTTATTTCAAAAATCACCAAGAAAATTGGCCGGTATAGCGGAAAATTTATCAGGGCAAGTGATTTTACATGTGCCACTGTACCGGAGTACCCTAGCAAATTTAAATTTATTTCCACCCCTGATTTATTGTAATGTTTTTTTCTGAGAACTGGTATATTGGGTAAATACCATACATGAATTTTTTGTGATTATCTTTATGGCTTTAAATTAAAATCTACAATGACTTTCATTCACAAGAGATGTTTTACTTTGTCATTCAATGACAAAACGGCATACTGTAATACTATAAATTTATAAAAACGGAAATAGAATCCCTGACTATGCAACCCAAGTTTGAAATTGTTGTTATCAGAACCATAACATATATATTTAAGGACTTATAATGTAAACCATTAGATCAACATGTACAATTAGTGTCACCTACTGTCAAATACTCAAGATACCAATATATCGCAATACGGGTACCTGAATCACAATATATTGCAATACAATTAATTTGCCAATACACAGCCCCAGTCAGAGCATGTCAGCTTCATGTACCTGAAAGTGGGTATGTCTCTGGTATCACTCTGCTGGAACCATGTACTGGGTATGGTGTTGTCAAACCTAGCAACCTAATCAGGGCAAACCGAAACAATTGTCTAATACTGCCACAATCGTATGTTGAGTGTTGTCCCATTTTGCCACGCCAGATATAATTCTTTATTCTAAGTTTGAATCCTGGCTCACCCGAACCATTGTTTCTCATTTTGTCACCAGGTCTTTACCGGAGTGATAAACCTCCCAAGATCTGGTCACTGCTGGCTTTAATCCTACAGCAAGCTCACATACTGGGTTATAAATGGAATGTTGTTAACAGGCGTTAAAGGCACGATGTCACACTTTTTTTGACAATATTCCAGCCTATATTACATATATTCGGGCCTACGCACTCACTTTAGCTTCCTATTGATGCAATAGAAGACTTATTATCCCTCACGACGTGCCAGAAATCGATAATTTAAAGTTTGGGGCATACAGCCCTCTTAAGAGAGAACACTTGCCATATATGGAATGTAAAACAATTGCTCCTTACATCGAAAACTGTTACACACGATGTTATCGGTGTTTGCCAAACCGGTTTCAATCACGTTATGCGTAGGATATTTGTAAAGAGCGCTCCAAGGGACATAACTCTACTGGGTTCACTTGAAATAATGTTCGGCTCGGTAGAGGGCGCAAAAGTCGATTAAATGCAAAGTTGCTTTAATTCATTCCAACTTGATTTGATATTGAAATCTAAATATGTAATTTTACGGGGAATAAATTATATGGTAGCTTCCATGAGGGCTGATAGTTAGTATTATTAAAAGAAATACATGTGTGGTGTGACATTGTGCCTTAAATATTGTATTTCACCCTACATTCAAAGCACCTTGTAATCAAAGGCACTCATTAAAATCCTCTTCCTTTTTATTGGTGTTATCAGTCAAACACGAAGTCGTCTAAATGTAGCAGTCATATCATCTATACCTAATATAATGAACATAAAAAAAACAATAATTGGGTATTTTCATTCCTTTAAGAATTTATTTATCTTCAGACCTGCAACCTTAGAGTGGGTAAGTGAGTTTAGTTTTATGCTGCTTTTAGCAATATTCCAGCAATATCATGGCAGGGGACACCAGAAATACCCACTTCGACGTGACGAGCGAACACTTTAACCACTAGGCTGTAAAAACGTCTTGAACAATTTGGAAGGCAACCATAATTGTGCAACTTTCAGGCACATATGCGTAATTCAATTAAACTGCAAAACACACTTGATCTACAAAAATCTTTTGATCTGGTGATACACACATTTATGGAATTCCATTGTCTGCAAAATGTATGGATCCTTGAACATTCTATGGATCTACAGAATTTCATTGACCTGAAGAATTCTATTGATTTATGGAGTTCTACTGTTTTATGAAAATCCATTGATTTATGAAATTCCACTATCTCCAGAATTTTAAGGGTCTGAAAAAATCTGTGGATCCACAGAATATCACTGACCTGAAGAATTCAAATTTATGTAATTCCATTGACTTCCAAATTCCATGAATCTGCAGAATTCCACTGATCAGCAGATTCTGATCGATCTACAAATTTTCACAATGTCTGGAATCCCATGGATCTGCAGCATTCTATGGACCTGGAGAATCCCATGGATCTGCAGCATTCTATGGACCTGGAGAATCCCATGGATCTGCAGCATTCTATGGACCTGGAGAATCCCATGGATCTGCAGCATTCTATGGACCTGGAGAATCCCATGGATCTGCTGCATTCTATGGACCTGGAGAATCCCATGGATCTGCAGCATTCTATGGACCTGGAGAATCCCATGGATCTGCTGCATTCTATGGACCTGGAGAATCCCATGGATCTGCAGCATTCTATGGACCTGGAGAATCCCATGGATCTGCAGCATTCTATGGACCTGGAGAATCCCATGGATCTGCAGCATTCTATGGACCTGGAGAATCCCATGGATCTGCAGCATTCTATGGACCTGGAGAATCCCATGGATCTGCTGCATTCTATGGACCTGAAGAATCCCATGGATCTGCAGCATTCTATGGACCTGGAGAATCCCATGGATCTGCAGCATTCTATGGACCTGGAGAATCCCATGGATCTGCAGCATTCTATGGACCTGGAGAATCCCATGGATCTGCAGCATTCTATGGACCTGGAGAATCCCATGGATCTGCAGCATTCTATGGACCTGGAGAATCCCATGGATCTGCTGCATTCTATGGACCTGGAGAATCCCATGGATCTGCTGCATTCTATGGACCTGGAGAATCCCATGGATCTGCAGCATTCTATGGACCTGGAGAATCCCATGGATCTGCAGCATTCTATGGACCTGGAGAATCCCATGGATCTGCAGCATTCTATGGACCTAGAGAATCCCATGGATCTGCAGCATTCTATGGACCTGGAGAATCCCATGGATCTGCAGCATTCTATGGACCTGGAGAATCCCATGGATCTGCAGCATTCTATGGACCAGGGCCCCGTTCCTCAAAGCGATCGTAGCTCTAAGATGATCGTAACTCCCATACTTTAACATAGGCTTACGACAGTCGTAGCGCTACGATCGCTTTGAGGAACGTGGCCCTGGAGAATTCCCAGAATCTGTAGAAATCATTGTTCTTGGTGTGCATGTTCCAGAGAGTATTTTCTTCAAGATATTGCAAAATCAATGTAACATTGTGGACGGACAAAATCAAATTTCGTTTTCTCCAATTCTGTGGTTGAATAAAAGCAGAAATGGACATGAAATATTCCACAAGTTGATGGTTAAAAAAAAGTGCATCAAATGTATCTAATAATTTTTTTACTACTGTTTAAGAAAGTAACAACTTGAAATATTCATGAAACAAAGATATAACAGAAGAGTCTGCTTTCTGAACTGACAGGTGTTAAATATTCTGCGTCTGCTCCGTTACACTTCCTGACACTGTTTGTAAGATGGAAATGAAACTGACTGTTGATGTCATCAATCCAAAAATATCTTGAAGGCCAGAACACTTGAATAACTAGATTTACAAATACGCTTGTCACTCTCATATGTTTTCTTGTCCAACCAACTCCATGAGCGACATTCACGACATTGTCGCCCTCTTCCTACTACCCTTGCACAATCCCAGTCACAAACATTCACATACAAAACATCTGTGATTGGAATTAACACAGACAAGCTGATGTCTTTTAATCTCCAACTTTACTGTTACATTATATTTCGACAGACTGTTCTTGTTTTGTTCAGCCTGCTTCATCTATCACTTGAGGTGACAGAATAGCATTTTTACCCCTCCCAACAAACTCAAGAGTGAGTGAGTGAGTGAATATGGTTTTACGTAACTTTTAGCAATATCACAGCAGGGGCCACTGGAAATGTACACATTGTAACCATGTGGGGAATCGAACCCAGGCCTTCAGCATGACATGCAAACGCTTTAACCACGAGGCTACCCTACGCCCCCAACAAACCCAAGAAAAGAAAATGGCAAGATGTACTATGCTATTATACTTTTTGACTGCTTGTTTTCATCTTTAGATGTGATTGATTTCCTCTTT